TTCGAGTCGGCTCGCGAGCCTCACGAGCCGAGCTCTAGTATGCTCGAATTCAGCTCGTTTAATAATCGAGCCAATAAATTGAGCTTGAGCTTGAGCTTGAACTCGGTTAAAACCGAGGCAAGCCGAGCTCAAATAACTCATGAAAAGCTCGTCTCGTTGCCACACCTACTCCTAAACCTCTGTTTTATTTTGGATTGAGTTGGGTGGCCCATCTAGAGCCCAAGGGTGTGCATTCGGTTGAACTGAATCGAATAGACCAAAATCAAATTAACCAAAATTTTAAGAAAAAAATCGAACCGAATCAAATTAAGGAAACACCACAGTGACCAACTGAATTCCTTATTTGGTTATTAGTTAAAACCAAATTTCATTGTGAGAAGTTGGCAAATGGCTATTTGACCTATTTCAAAAAGTGTTATCAATATCTATAAAAATACATAAACACATTTCAAGCATATCTTAGTACAAACACATAAACCTAAATCAACATAAAGGTCTCGAAATGACACCATCCTTTTCCATTTTAAAAGAATGGGGAAAGGTCTCAAAACGATGTCGTTTTTGAAATTGGTTTTTTCTGTTAATAAAAATTTCAAATCTAAGAACTGAAATCAATAACTAAAATACCTTAAAACCAAAATGAAAAAGTACCAAAACCAAACCAATGACCAAAATAATCGAACTGAAAAAAGGTAAAAATGAAATTTCAATTTGTTCAACTGAAATATGTTTACCTAGACTTATCTTGGGTGCCCTAGCTTGGATCTGATTTTCCAAAAAACTATTTAGTAGAATAACAATTGAACAATTCAAAGATATAATTTAATTGCTTGTGGATGGATCACATGACCTACAAAAAGCAATGTGGGGATTGGATATACAATTTTTAATAAACAAGGTTCGATGATTGTAACAATGGGTAGGGGATGTTTGGGTAGTGGATCAAAAGAAGTAGAAGAACATGCCTATGTTGGGATTAGAACTCTTTTTTAACAGTGTATACATCAGCAATGTAAATTGCAAAGGAAAAGACTAATAAGCAATGTCCAATGAGACAAAGCCACATTAGAATTTTTAACGTGGAAAACCTCTCCAATGTGAAGAGGAAAATCATGAGGAACCAGCCCAAAAAACTTCTACTATCAACAAGAATAATGTGGTTACAACTTACTAGAGAAAAACAAATTCAAGAGACAATAAAGTTTTTTAAATAAATAAAAAAAACATCAAACAAGATGTATATAACCAACAAAATATGAGAAAGATTTCACAAAATAAGGCTGCCAAAGTCCTTTTGAAAATCACTATTAAAGAGTCAAGAAAACCCATCCAAAGCTTGATGTGGAAAAGCACAACATAGTAGCCAAAATAGTTGATTGAAGGTGTTTTTGTTCACATAGCAAGAAGGTTAAATCTCTTTTACTTCTCTTGTAAAAAATACCAACGTGAATGTGTCCAAAATGCCAAGAGATTCTTCACACCATGATAAATAAGACTTGTAGAGAAAACCAAAGGATAGTAAAGAATAAATCCCACTATCCATTAACATGGAAACAAGACAAGACAACTTATTTCTTTCTAATTAATGAGAAAATACCAAGAGTTGCAAACTTCATTTTATCTTTCTCATGTTACTCACGTGTTGGGCAAGAAACTACAACACATAGGTGGGTTCCACCTCCACATGAGGAGGGAAACTCAATAGCCTATTCAAAGGTATCACAAAAATTTGTAGCATGTGATATAAAATTATATATGAAATGATAATATGTTCTAATGAACAATAAGATGTATAAGTAGTAGTTAAACAAAAGGGACGATGGAGTATGTAAAGATCAAATATTTAGAGTGCTTTTTTTCTTCTTTTGATTTGATGTTGTAGATCGCTTACAAATTGTTAATGCTTTGAATGTAAATCAGGCATACAACAATCAAATGGCTCGCATGCATGGATATGCTCTCATACACATGTTTGTTCATGCTTATGTGAGCGACAATGTATTTATAAAGTGGTGAATATGAATGAAGCTTCATTTACCAAAAGAAACAAAATCAACAAGATTGTCTTATTCATGGCATTAGTTTATAATATTATAGATAAAGGAAGCTAGGGGATCTTCTCACCTCAATGCTCACATGTACTTACTCCTCTCTTAAAATATACGTCATAACAGAACTGTGTGTGTGATAAAATTCTTCTTAACTCTTTTCCTCACGATAGTCAATATTTGTAATGTCTCCTCAATCTATTAAATTCCTTTGTCTCTCCTTTTAAATCTCTTTGAAACCCTCTTGATTTATCTATTGAAGTAAGGGTGTAAATTGGAGAGGTTAGGTTTGGTTAAGGGATAATCCAAACCCAACACTAAATGGCATGGACTGGTGTGTTTGGATGGGATTAGGTAAGTTGTTCATTTTTAAAACTTTTCATGCTTTTAATCTTTTATTTTAATTTTATGATGAAATTGGATATCACTAAATTGTGAAACCGAAATAAAATTGTATTCCTATTTGGTGGTAGGTCAATAATTCAACTTTTTGGGTCAGATGTGTCAATCCTTGATGTCATAATTAAATAATAAAATTAAAAGGGTAAATCACAATGACCCATGTACTATGGGGTTAATGACTACCCCTTATATTTTCATTTGCGACAAAGACCCCCTTAACTTTTTCAGGCCCCTTCCATTAGCATTTCATTAGTTAACTTCGGAAAAGATTCTCATTAGGCTGTTTAAAGCTTTTTAAATCCTAAAACTACTCTTTAATTATTTTCTCAAACAATTTTACCCTTTCATTTATACTTTATTAATCCAACAATTCCTGAAAGTATTGGTTTTCATAAGGCTAAAAATGCTAGTGTGGTATACATGTACATAGATTCTTCTTTGCCAATGGCGATAAAAATACCTTCTTATCTAGCAATTAATGCCATAAAAAAAATGCGAATGATTTTTTTTTAGTATCACCAAAGATTCTTCTGTATCCGGCGATGGTGTGCTGGATAACTTTTGTTGGAGAGATAGTGTCAACAACTTTTGACGGTTCTCCTACAATATGTTTTTGTAGGTCAGGTCGTTAGGGTTTAGGAGAAGGTGAGGATTAGACAAAGGAAGGAATGGCTTTGGTCATTTTGAAACGTTCATTTTCATGCCCCTTGAATTACAAAGGGGGAATTTTGATAATTTAGTGTTTTCCTTCCAGTGACTTAACAATCAAGGGGGTCTTTGTCATAAATGAAAGTATAGGGGGTATTTGTCATTAGACCCATTGTACATGGGTCATTGTAATTTATCCATAGAATAATAAAAAGATAAAAATACGAAAAATTTATGAAAATACAAAAAAATTGTAAAAAACATTTAGGCACATCTTTAATATCATATATTCATCGTACTAAACAAAAATAAATGTGATATATAGGTATAATTTTATAGATATAGACATATAAAAAAGTCTAAAGTATTGAGAAACCTATTTTCATCATCATCATCATCATCTAAAATTGCTATTGCTACATGCAAATCACATGCACATTTACCGGTGTCTGGTATGTATTATCATTTATTTCACTGTTTGTGCCTCATAATTATTTTTGGTCTGTAATGTAATAATATCTCATAATTACTTAAATGCTTTAAAATCATCATTAGACAGTATTTTATGACTTTTCACTTAGAATCTATTCACAAAACTTTTTTTTTCTTCTTTTTTTGTTTGGGTGAAATGTTGTCTATCTTTATTGCAAGTCCTGTTATGAATGTGGGAAGACTTTTAAGAATTGCATGGCTTTTTATTTACTAGAATTACTTGCACAGATATTTCAAGTCTCAATGTTTGTACCTGAATATATGAATTGGCGTTAATAATGGTCATCAAATGACCTAGTAGTTGAGATGATTATTTGGTGTCCCTCCACCTATCGAGGCGTGAGATCAAACCCGTGTGACTGCAGGCATTCTATAGTAAGGTTAGTGGACCTCAAGTGCATCCATCTCACAAAATAAAAAAAAAAATAATATTGCATAAATAATAAAAATTACGCATTTTGACATATAACTTAATGCACAAGCTTATTGTGGTTCTCAACATTTAACAAATGTCACTAGGCACTCCATAAGACAACAATAGTAGAAGGACCGTGTTAGGGAAAACTTCAATACCCCTATATACGTAACCTAATGCAAATGGTGGTACAAGTGTACCAAGTAAAAGGTATTTTTTATTAAGAAGGAAGTAAAATCTACCTCAGCAAACAAACATGCTTTTGGCATTATAAATCAAAACACATATACGACTTTCATACACTTTTAGGCTGCGTTTGGAATCGGTATAAATCAAGGATTATGTAAAAGTTTATGTTGGTTCAATTTTATCAGCGTTTGGAAGAGTATATAATCATGATCGATGTAAAACTTTATTCTGTTTCAGATTTGCGTGCATTTAAATGGAGTAGAGTTTTACGTCATGAATCAATGTAAAACCTTATCAAACATAAAATTTGATGTACATATTAACTTTACACCAATTACGCTTTTCAAAAATATAACAATCACTGAATAACGGTTTAATATAAAACATTATTAATATATTTTTCCATTGATGACATTTTACACGGGTTTCAAATGCAGCCTTAAGGAAAAATGCAACACCATAGTTCCAAATACCTCTTTTTATCAGACGAGTGCAGAGGTAATAACGGTGATAATTTCTTAGGCTTAGGCCCAAATTCTGTGTTCCGGCCCAAAATTTTGTAGGTTTGGACTTGGCTTACAATATATTTATTTTGCAGTTTAAATATAAGTATTTATAATTGACATATAAATATATATCACATATAATATTTTGTATTACATAAATTATAACTTATATTTAAGGTAATAGTCCCAAAGCCTGGACCTGCCTGGTCCGGGCCCATATCAGGCCCATATGAGGCCCGGGGTTCGGTATCATCCCCGTGGTAATAATCGAGGAAAATGATGAGTTGGTTATATTCCAAACCTACATTCAAGCACGACTCTCTCAATCGTCTGTGTCTTTGCAAGACATAGCATCAGCTCTCCGTCTACCAGTCAAGGTTGTACTACCTCAGTTCCTTGCAGAGCCTGGACAGGTAGAAGAGGCACCTGCACCACCTATAAGTCTCCCTCTCTCTCACCTTCACTACACAAATCCGTTTCTCATTTCTTCTTTCACCAAAAAATCAAGACGAATTGTAAAAAATTGCATTGACCACAGTTGCAATGGCGTCTGATTCGGACTCTTTAACCTCAACCGATGATTTCGCCTACCAAAACCCTAAAGCTAGCCCTCCTGAAACATCCCAGGATGGATTGAAATTTCTGACATTGAATGAATCTGAGAATGTCGTCGATGGTGAATTAGCTTTGAATCAACCAGTTGTGGGCGAGGGCGTAAATGGGCAATTAGTGGTTGAGCATGATAGAGGAGAATGTGAACTTGAGACTGAAGAACCAGTTGCGGGCGAGGGTGTAAATGGACAATTAGTGGCTGATCATGATAGAGGAGAAGGTGAACCTGAGATCGAAGAACCAGTTGTGGGCGAGGGCGTAAATGGACAATTAGTGGCTGAGCATGATAGAGGAGAAGGTGAACCAGAGATCGAAGAACAAGTTGTGGGCGAGGGCGTAAATGGACAATTAGTGGCGGAGCATGATAGAGGAGAAGGTGAACATGAGATCGAAGAACCAGTTGTGGGCGAGGACGTAAATGGACAGTTAGTGGCTGAGCATGCTAGAGGAGAAGGTGAACCTGAGATCGAAGAACAGTCTTCTTCAAGCGGTCCAGCGGCGATGGCTGCAGTGCCCGAAGTTGGTGAAGTGGTTCGAGAGATTTCTTCCTCTGTTGTTGTCCACAGAGTCAATTCCGAGCTTGAAGTCGATGCCCCATCGAGTCCTAGCAGCAGTGGATACGCTGGAGAAAGGGGCAGCAGCAGTGACAGCAGTGCATCTGGGATTGAGGAGGTTAATGGGGACGATATTGACGAAGCAGTAATTCCGGCAGATCATTCTGTGGATGCGGTTTCGGATTCACCTTCATGGGTTCCTGGAAAACGGCATATCAATGAGGTAAGAGGTTTTGGTGCGTTGTCTTAACTCATCTTATTACACAAACGTACCTACCTGGTTTGCGGATCGGTGAAGCGTATGCGGTTTGTAATTCTGCAGACACTTGTTTACCCATGCAAGGACAAATGCCCTAATTCTGAACATAATTCACTCAATTGGTTCACAATCTGCAGGTGTTTAGGGAATAAGGTAGCTATGTCCATTAATATGTTGCAGAAATTTAAGTTGATTTTTCTGTACTTAAATCATTTTCCGATTAGTTGTCTATACTTAATCATGGGAATATGGGATGTGAAGTGCATGGAATTATGGTAGACAGACAACATTAGAAAATTTTTGGTGGCTTCTCTCAAGCATTCCTTAGACAATAAATTATTAATTCATCCAGTTTCCAAGATTCGTTGATTTCCTGTGGAAATGTCATAGCGGCTGAAGGTCTCCAATCTACAAATCTAAGTCATTCTTTATGATATTTCAACTACTGAGATGTGCAGTATGTGGAAGTATGACCAACTCTTTGAAACCTACAACCTAATCAAACAAGCACTCATGATCCGAAGAAGACGACCACTCTTTGAAAATCAATGCCTTCAATAATGCCTACACCCTCAAGCTCCTTACATTCACTTTCTTCCTCTGATTCCTCCTCTAAATCTCTTGAATCCTTTTCTTTTTTGTTCTAGTTTCCAACTCCATAAAAGCTCTTCTTGCAAACTCCTCCCCACCAGAAAAAAAGACCCAATGACTTACTGACTTGAACTGCCACCTCGGCAACCTTCTCCAACTCAAACCTCTTCTCATTAGCCAAATTAACTTGATCTACAACAGCATCTGTCTCAGCCTCTTGCTCCTCCAGAACTTCTAAACTAGATTCAACTGCATCTCCTTTATTTTTTTAAAATTTTTTTGATCAGTAAAAGAAATTATATTAATGTATTTCAGAGATTACATTTAGATTTGTTTTAAATCCACCCCAAAAGTACAAGATTTCACAGAACTGCTCAGAATAATTGATGTCTTAATGCCCTTGTTTAGGTAGAGTGTCTGCCATTCCATTTGCTGTTCTTGTCACCCATTTGAAGGAGACATTTAGTTTCCTTATAAGTACTCAATCTCCCTATATATTTGCTGGAAAGCCCAAGGGATTGGGCATTTGCTCTTGTCCAAGAAATAACCACCTGGGAGTCCCCTTCCACTTCTAGATTATGGAAGCCAAATTGTTTTGCAAGTTTTAAGCCCTGCAATAAGCTAACCATTTCTTCTGTCAGTGCATCCCTGTGTTCCAATGGTCTTGAGTACAAGACCACCACCAATTCTTCTGAGTTCCTGAAAACACCCCCTATCCCAGCCATAGCCAAACTACATCTCCCTTATTGACTTGACTTTGCCCCAATTCCTTCTTACTCATAAAAAATTCCCCTTATTTGAACTGCTTTATTCTTTTCTTCTGCTTTGTTGGTTTTGAACATCAAGGATATGAAATTCTTTCAAACTTCACAGCTTACAAGAGTTTCTACTTTGTAAATAGCAATGTTTCTTCTTCTCCTAGTATAAAAATAGAGGCTCAGCCCCTCTATTTTCTGAAGTTTCTTTTCTTTTTTCTATTTTTTCTTGAATATGTTGATTTTCTATGTTTAAATGAACTTCATACATTTTTTTATGAAGATTATAGACAATTAACAGTGAAACACAGTGTTTTCAACCCATCGTTGAGTTGACCGGTTGAACCATTTGAACCATCACCTGACCTTGATTCCAGGTCCAGTTCTCCTAAAACCAGCCAGTCAAAAGAACCTAAGAGTCTTTGAAGACAAGGAAAGAAGTAAGGAAGCTGTGATTGAGGTGATTACCTTAAGAGTAGCGCATTGTGTGAGAACCTTAAAGCTTTTTGCTGACTTTAAGGTAGAAGACTTCTTCATATTGTGGGGAATAATTGCAGGTTCTTCGTTCAGAAGACAGATAGTACGTGAGGCCTGGTGTCCTCCATGCGTTGGGTGGAAGAAATTAAACTTTGATGGTAGCTGTATGGGCAATCCTGGACCATTGGGTATTGGTGGGGTAATTAGGGAAGAAAAATGGAAACATGGAATAATAGCTTTGTAGTCAGGGCCTATTCAACATGGAGATGTAGTGAGATCAGAATTATTGGCAGCAGTCTATGGAGTAGAGAAAGCTAAAGAAATGAGGATTAAAAAGCTGATTATTGAAGGTGATTCAAAAGTAGTTGTGGTCTGGCTGAAAAAGGGGGAAGGAATCATATGGAAGTTAAGGAATGAATTCAGGAGATTCAAGCAGATTTCTAAAGACATGATGATCCAAATAAGGTGGATAAGGAGATCTGCAAGCAGTTTGGCTGATGGTCTAGCAAAGCAAGGAACTCAAAGACAATCTATGTTCTGGGCAGTTCTGTAAATAGTGAATAGTTTCTGTTTGGGCTTTGTTTTTGCCCACAACTCCTTGTTGTATCTCTGTTTTCTAATCTAAAGAATCAATTTTTGTGTTGCTGATAAAAAAAAAACAGCCGGTCAAAACATTGACCTGGTCACCGGGTCACGGGTTGCACACTCCATGTATGTACAAACTTTCAGAGGCCATAACTTTGTGCTCGGTTTTCTGATTGAGGTGATTTTTTTTTGATTTTGGGTAACTTTTTGGGATCTGTGCATCCCAAGGCACCAAGCCCCAGTATTTTTGCCAAAAAAAATTTTGACCTCATACTGCAATTTATAGCATTTTTTTTTACAAATAAAAATTAAAAACTGAATTAAAAATATAAATTAAACATAAAATAATACTTATATATACATATATTATATGTAAAAATAATTATAATTATTTTATGCTTGGATGGTTGAACCGGTGACCTACGACCCAGAGGCAAAAACAGTTCAAACTTCAGGTCAGTTTTTAAAACATTGGTGAAGGATGGTTGCTACATGCTATAGAACCTAAGGAATTTCCCTAGGATTCATGGTTTTTAGTCAAAAAAGTCCCATTGCCTAGGTGACAAGGCGCCTCCCCCCCAGCCTGGATTGCCCAGCCTTGCCTTGATGCCTTGAAAACTGTGACAGTGGCAATGTTTTAAGGAGAGAATTAGAAACATGTTCATTTGTGGCAAGCTAAGTGATGAAAGCGTAGAGTGGGAGCAAAAACGTGAATGCCATAGTTGAAAAAATTTAGGATTTGAGACCATGTAGAGAGTGCTTCACACACATGTATATGGTAACTTATAAATATTTTAGTATCTTTGTAAAAGAGAGAAATATGGAGATTCCACTGGAAGAGAGGGTGCACACTGATGTTGATTGAGTTTAAGTAGAAAGTTAGTGTTGCAGATATAAGCCTATACACACTTCCAGAAAAATTCTAATATAAAACATTCTCTGATATTTGCTGATTACATTTTCTGGGCCATTTTTCTTTGATTGTGAATTGAAGGTGGGAGCAGCACCATCCTTTTGGATTTGGGGCCCAAGGGTAGCCCCGAATGGTCGGGATAAGGCTTTCTTGGGTTGACCCATTGAGAACATAAACCATCATGATGCCCTCAACACACATGAGAAGTTCCCTACCTTTTAAGGATAGCATTGTATGCTTCACATTGGAAATTTGTATTCTGTCCTTAATGAGTTGCCTATTCCCATGTCATCCTTGTAGTTTAGAACCAAAATTTGCAGACCTAAGAGGACAAGCAAAGCTTATCTACAGAAAGCAATTTTTTGAGCGCCCAAATTGCTTTTGTTTTGCTCTTTGGGAGTATTTCCCATCCAGTTGGTGGGCTAGATTGGTATCATTCATGGCCTTTAGCTATTAATAGAAAAAATGTATGATCTGTAGGGTAGTATGCAAGGATAATAAATGTCTTTTCCACTCATAATCTGTTGTGGACTTTGTAAGGGGCAAAATATTGGGGTTTTTCTGATGTCATTTGTCTTTCCTAAACAATTGTTACTTGTTCTTTTGTATGATTCCACATAAAGCATCAAGCATTGTCCCCTAATATTGTGTAATTTATAAATGAAGTACAGGACGATGCATCAATTTCTTGGCGAAAAAGGAAGAAACATTTTTTTGTATTGAGCAACTCCGGAAAACCGATATACTCCAGGTTGTTTTAACTGCTAATTATTGGAAACCTACATTTTGTATTAAGTATGATAGAGGATCTTTAGTTTTGTATTGCTTTAAACTAAGGTGTGTACATTCTAATCTTCTTCAAGGTATGGAGATGAATATAAGCTAGCGGGATTTTCAGCAACCTTGCAAGCTATCATTTCCTTTGTGGAGAATGGGTACATGACTATGAGAAACTTATATTGGTATTCCAAAGAAATTTTTCTTGACGACATTCTAAGGAATATTTTATAATGTTTTGTCATAAATCCTTTTTCAGGGGAGATCAAGTGAAATTTGTAAGGGCTGGAAAACACCAGGTCTTCTTGAATGCTCTTTGATTCTTCTTTTTCAGATGGCCAATTTTTTCAGTTTGTCTTTGTCTTTTTTTTTTTTGGTAAATAGTGTTATTGTATTCAAAAAGAGGGAGAGTTTCCTTCAAAGCATGTGTACATCAAGCAGAACTCAGAAGCATATAAAAAGGAGAACTACAACCCAAAACCCATATTAAACTTGGAAGTTAGTATGAAAGAAAATCTATATCTGCTTGCTTTCTTCTTGTTACCTTCTTTTGCCCAACCATTTAAGAATTTGTTATCAACCATTTTTGCAACAAATTTTGAGGTGATGAAAGTTTTTTTGTTGCTACACTACTCTAGCATATGCAAATTACCATTAATGGCAAACAACAAATCGTTGCATCTTTAACGGCATTTAAACTTTATTTCTTTTACTGATATAATGAGCCTGCATAATTAGCAATTAGTTCATCATAGTATTATCTTTTGGTGGGGCACTTTGTATAGTAATGCCTTGCACAATAGAACTGGAACTTATAGTGGCTTCTTTTAGGATAAGGATGAAAAGATATGAACAAAAAATGAACTCAAGATGCTTGTAAACCTTGTAGTGTGCACAAAAGATTTATTTATTTTTTATCAGCAACACAGAAATGATTTCATTAATAAAAAGAAAGCATGGTTACAACAAGAGGTTGTGAAAAAAAGAAAGAACACAGCTTTAGTAAAGCTGATCCAACCCAAGAATTGCAAATTTACAATTGAGCCCAATGTAGATGAGTTCTTTGTACCCATTGCTTATGTAGACCATCTTCCAAGCTGTTGGCAGTTCTCCTCATCCATTTAACTTGGATTGTCATGTCCTTAGATAGTCATTTAAATTGCCTGAATTCATTCCTCAAATGCCATGTCACCTCCTCCTCTTTCTTCAGCCATTTCACAACAGTTTTTGAGTCACCCTCAATGATCAGCCTATCAACGCCCAACTCTTTTGCCTTCTCAACCCCATATACTGCAGCCAATAGTTCTGATCTTGCCACATCACCATGTTCAGTAGGTCCCAAGTATAAGGTTATGATGTTTCCTTCTTCGTCCCTAATGACCCCCCTATGCCTAAGGGGCCTGGATTATCCAAACAACTCCCATCAAAATTCAGTTTCTTCCAGCCACCTATTGGAGGTGACCACTTCTCAACAGATTTATGTCTTCTAGATGATGAGGCAGCAATAACACCCCAGGCCCTAAAAAAGTCTTCAACCTTAAAATTTGAAGATGGTTTCAGACTTTTTTCCCAGTGTGCCACTCTTAGAGTTATGATTTCTACCAAGGCTTCCTTGCTTTTTCTTTTTGTTTTTTTTTGGATAATTAACAGAATTTTATTAATGATAAAATAAAAGCATAAAGTACAATAGAAAGGAGGAAAGGGTAAAATCTCTTAACCCTCCCTGCGAATGATATTCATGTTATTCCTTGTTTCTTTCTCTTTCTTCTAATATTCTTGAGTTTCTTTTCCCCCAAACTGTCCAAAGCACCGCTGCTCTGGTACACTTCCCCAAGATCCTGTTCCTCCTTTCAGTGCAGTTAAAGCCAGTAGAGCTAAACAATCCTTCCAACCTGTTAGGAGAAGATCATCTGCATCCAAAGAGGGAAGCAAACCAATTCCAAATAAAGCTAATGAAAGGACAAGAGACTAGGAGATGAAATGCAGTCTTACCATTTAACTTACACAGGACACACCAGCTGGGGGACAAACACCAAGTTGGTCTTTTTCTTTGAAGCAAGTCAAATGTATTAATACAGCCATAAAACACTTCCCAACAAAAAGCACTGATTTTTTTTTTTTTTTTTTTGGGGGGGGGGTGGCTACCTAGGAATTAAAGAAAGATTTACAAGAAAACAATCCATTAGGATTAAGGCACCAAACCCTAGAATCCAAGCCACCTCCCAGAAACGTTCAATTCAGCAAGCCTAACAACTTGGACACAAGGAATTTTAGATTCTCTACGGTTCCTATTAAAGCCAAAGTTTCAATTCAGCCCTGAAGGATGAGGGTGCTGGCCTAAGAAGTCAAAAATAGGTCTACCCTTAAACCTGGAAAGATCAAAAAGAGAACGAAATCTCTCACCCAGAGGGATATCCCCAATCCACACATCCTCCCAAAATCTAATTTTCTGACCCGAAACCAAATCATACCTGATATGATTTAGAAAGGTAGGAAGAATCTTGTGGGTGGCCTTCCAAGGAGCAGCCAAAGTATCTCTACGGAGACAACCAACACCCCATCCAATGCTTGACATGCCATGAATACTTGCAACAACTCTTGTTTTTTTGATAAATTGAATACTTGCAACAACTTTGTGCCATAATTTCTCATTCTCACTATGGAACCTCCACAGCCATTTGCTAAGCGAAGCCAAATTCAACTTGACTTTACCAATTCCCAATCCCCCTTCTACCTTTAATTTCACTACCTTTTCCTATCAAATCAGATGAGCCTTCTTTTTTTTTTTTTCCGCTGGCTTCGAGAGAAAATTCCTCATGATTTTTTCAATTTTCCTCACTATCTCTTGGGGCATCGTAAACACTGACATGTAGTACACTGGAAGGTTTGCAAGGGATGCACAAAAGATTTATTTATTTATTTTGAAAAAAATAACATTTCTATGTATTTTGGGTCATTATGAAGGAGGATTCAGTTGAAGTATTAGACTTATTTCCTGACAACTAATTTTAACCTAAGAAGGTATTTGCCATGGAGTTGAAAGATTATAGATTCATTGATTTGTGGGAAGTGTCTACAAAATCATAAATACAGTACTGACTATCTTGAGTGACACAAAAAGTGTGAGAAATGGTCTCACCTTCACAGGGTGCCTTTGTCTATAGAAGACAGATTTTGGATGGGCTTTGGTATGAATAAATTATTATTAGCCTGGGATAATCGGGTGAGGTCTGTTATAGAAAATGTTTATGGAAAGAATGCGATCATGCTAATATGAATTTTCTGACTGTCTAAAGGCTTTGAGTTGGGAATAATGTTCCTAACGTCTACTACAGTTTATTCATGCCTTAGTGCCCAGAAAAACCTAGGAGTGACAGTGATTCATATATGATCCAAGATTCAGGTGATTCTGGAATGGGGTTGCTTTTGAAGCATGTTTCCAATTTTCTTGAATTGCATCACATCCTCTTTGATTCTGTGCTGAAATAATAAACATGATTCACATGTTGACTTGTCATTTGTAAGAGAATATTCTGGGGAGGTACAGGGTACTAATTAGACAGGTGCATACTCTAGGTCATAGTCTGGAATGCGGATAGCTCATTCAGGTGGATACCTACATCTGCAAATTCTTTGGCCTAGCTAAAACAGAAGTAATAAGGATGGTCTTGTATGGGGAATGCCTGGACTTGGGATAAGTTTGTAATATTCCTTTGTTTTTGTGGGCAGCTTTGCCCCTTTCTCCATTGTTGACACAATTAGAGGATGGCAAATATTATGAATTCATCCATGGCAAGAAACATCATTTATATTGATTGGTCTCCAAAATGATAGTGGATTCATCTTGACTCTTTTTCAGGATCAGTTGGTGATTCCACTAGGGCAGAGATTCTAGCCTTATTGCATGGTGGGTAATTATCTTAACTATAGGAATTTAGTAGTAAGATTCTCTAAGGTAGCAGTGGGATGGTTAACAAATGATAGCCTAGGGTCTTTGCAGTATAGACATTTATGAGTATTATAATCCAATCTGCCTTCGAATTCTGTTAGAATAGTGATTGTAGAAATAAGAGAAAGATGAGAAGAGGAAGAAGAAGAAGAGAAGAAAATAAAGGAGAGAAGTCTGGTTCGAACAAGAGAGAAAAATCAGTCTCTCTCTAGTCAGCCAGATCTATTTATATGTTTCTATTAAATCAGAAAAGGACACCTTTGCCCCTACTTAAGTGAGGGACACAAGTACTAATAGAACATTACACATCAGCTACTTAAACATAAACATAAAGACTAAAATACCCTTACACAGTCAACATTAACACTCCCCCTCAAGCTGGTGAGTATATATCATATAGTCCCAGCTTGTTACATATGTAGTCCACTCTTCCCCGACTCAACCCTTTGGTAAACAAATCTGCCCATTGGTTTCTTGTGTTAACATATGCAGTATCTGTCACTCCACTTAGCACATTCTCTTTTACAAAGTGATAGTCAACCTCTATATGCTTGGTTCTCTCATGAAACATCGGATTAGAAGAGATATAGACTGCAACTTGATTGTCACAGTAGAGCTTCATTGGAGTGTCAACAGTGTATCCCATCTCCTGTAGAAGATTTCTCAGCCACATTAATTCACAAGTAGTATGTGCCATAGCTCTATATTCTGCCTTTGCATTGCTTCTTGCCACAACGATTTGTTTCTTACTTTTCCATGTCACCAAATTACCCCCAAGGAAAGTACAATAGCCTGTACTGGATCTCCTATCAGATACAGAGCCAGCCCAATCAACATCAGTATATTCCTCTATTTCAAGCTTTCCTCCACTTCTATATATCAAATCACGACTAGGAACCCCCTTTAAATACCTCACAATCCTTAGAACTGCATCCCAATGTGGAACCTGAGGTTTCTGCATGAACTGACTTACCACACTAGCCGCAAATAAAATGTCTAGCCGAGTAATGGTTAGGTAGTTTAGTTTACCTACCAACCGCCGGTATCTTCCAGGATCTTCAAACTCTTCACCCATATCACTACTCAGCTTAGTATTTGCTTCCATAGGTGTTTTAGCTGGTTTGGCACCTAATAATCCTATTTCTTCCAACAAATCAAGAACATATTTCCTTTGACACAAATTAATACCATGCTTAGACCTTGCTATTTCTATCCCCAAGAAATACTTTAGTTTACCAAGGTCCTTTGTTTGAAAGTGTTCCTACAGAAAAATCTTCAACCTATCAATTCCCACTTTATCATTCCCAGTAATAACAATATCATCTACATATACCACCAATAGGATCTTTC